CTTTCCCTAAGGAAGAATCTTGCACACACGTTGGCTTCAGCGGAGTCATACATTTAAACACAGCCATAACTTTTAGCCTACTAGAGCCACAGCTGACTCTTCCTCAGGAAAGCTCATTGAGCAAAGTGCTTTGCTGAACATCCACAGGTTCACAGCTCTCATGCTCTTTTTTTCAGTTTTGTCCCTCCTCCTACCCCAAACTGCCTGTGACAAGGTATAAAGTCACCTCTGCCTTTGAGCAGAGGGAGCCCCTCCAGGATGACCATAAGCATGTGCAAGTCTTTGCAAGACTGGCATCACAACCAGTTTCTAAAGGTCCAGAGAGACTTCTCTTCAGAATCTATTTCGCACTTTAATCACTGTTCTTTTCCCGTAACAATACATTTATACCATTCTTTGATCATTTATCTCATTCAGGCTCTTAATTTACAACTCACTCACTTCATTCTTTCCTACACATGACCTCATTTGGTTTTCCTGTATCTGCTGATGAGGAATTAGAAAGGCCCAGAAAAGAACATCAAACAGAGTACTGAATTTGGGTCATCATCCTCAAAGCGTCCCAAGACAGCCTGCCTTAGCTCATCAGCGAAAGTTCACTTGCAATGCTTCCGTCTCCCTAGAAAGGGAGAGATAAGAAGCCTAATAACTTTTGCCACACCAACTGATATAGTCAGGAAGCTTGAAAATATTTCAAGCATAGAGCCTTGACAACTTCATCATGACTTGCATGCCCAAAAGCTTTTTTTTCTCTCTTTCTCTCCCTGTCTGTTTCTTTCTTTATATTTTTGGAATTGCCTCTGAAAAGTATTCCTCAAGTGAGCTGTTTCAGCTATCATATGGAGTAATATATAAAAGGGTTGCTTTATAAGGGTGTCTTGATATTAGCCATTTCATCAGAGCACCTGCACCTGCTTAAGCATGCTGAGCCTATTCACTTCATATCTTTTAAAGTATGCTTATGCTTAAAAAATATGCCTAAAAATTTTAATGGACCAAGGCCAGAGTACTCAGCAGCATTTTTTTTTTTCTTTTTTAAGTACAGCTGAGGAAGGCAAAACAGCTTTCCTGAAGTGAGTTTGTTTTCTTACCCAAAGCATTTTTTGTCCTTTGCTTTGTAGGTGTTCAGTTTTTGATTAATACAGCGTATCATACCATTCACCTATACCCGTTTTTGTGACTTGCTTTCACTCTGTATCCAACAGATACAAAATTTACAGTCCCTGCTTTTGTCTGCTACTGCTATTTTCATACAGAGTCACTAGGGAAGGGCTGTTCCAAATGAACGATTTCTTAACCTTGTCAATGGGGTAAAGAAGTAAGATGTTCTTTTTGTATTTTGATTTACAAACTGATCTTGGACCAGAACATTGAAAATCTCAAATCAACATGAAGCCTAAGCATTATTTTTTTAACAAATTAAGCCAACCACCCTTTCCCCCAGAAAGTGGGGAACTTAATCTAAATGACAAGCTCCTTCCCCCCTCCATGTGTGCATTTTTAAAGCCAGAATTTACTAACTTAGTTGCTTAACTGATTACTGAACATGTAGTAAGACATCCAGGAATAAATTTGCAAAGTGCATTTTATTTAACTTATCTCATAATGAATCCCTGAGCTGCCCAAAAACTTAATGTCATCACACGTGATCTGGATATTAGGCTAGCACAAACAGTGAAGAATAATTAATGCTAGAAGACAGAGAACAATGAAAACCTGCTAGTTGCAGTGAAATTAGTATTTCTGGAAAATTAGGGAGCCCTGTCACTGAATGCATAATTTCTTTCTATGTCCACATACATCTTTAGGGAGTTATTACAGTGTTATAATAGATTGGCTTTCCATGCAAGGTTATAAAACTGTGGCTGATTAGGCTCCTGACACCGTAAACCTGTACCTCTTCCCCAGGGCAGATTTATACCCAGCTAGCAGAACACCTAGCTACATTGCAATCGATTGTGATTGTTTTTCCTTACAAACTGTGTTTAAAAAAAAAAAAAGGAAAGAAAAACAGAATAAAAACAAAAAGCACTTTAAAGTGAATGGTTTATTTAGTATTCAAATAGGTGCTTTTTTTTTTTCTTGATACAGTTCTGGAACACGCACAAATATCAACACAGGCACCTAGGCGCCGGGGGCGCTCGTAGGACGCCCCCCGTGCTACTGGGAGGGCAGTTTACGTGACCTGTAGCCAGCAAAACCTTTGTAATCTTTTCATTTTAAAAAAATTTAATTTTATTTACTTATTATTTTTATTTCTGGCTGTC